AAAAAGATTTTATTTGTTTATTTGTGTGTGTGAGAGAGAGAGCGAGCACAAGCAGGGGAAGCGGCAGGCAAAGGGAGAAGCGGGCTCCCTGCTCAGGGAGCCCGATGCGGGGCTCGATCTCAGGACACTGGGATCATGACCTGAGCTGAAGGCAGACGCTTAACTGACTGAGCCACCCAGGCGTCCCTGATATGTGATTTTGTTTTTAAAGATTTTATTTATTTATTTGAGAGAGAGAGAGAGAGAGCACACGAGAGGGGGGAGGGTCAGAGGGAGAAGCAGACTCCCCACTGAGCAGGGAGCCCGATGCGGGACTCGATCCAGGGACTCCAGGATCATGACCTGAGCCGAAGGCAGTCGCTTAACCAACTGAGCCACCCAGGCGCCCCACCTGATATGTGATTTTTTAAGAGTAAAATTTCTCAGGGAAACCATCTGTGAAAAATTATGCTGGGCCCAATTAGAGAACTATGAAGACTGGGTTTTTGCGTGTCATAGACTTTCCAGTATATGCTCACAGGCTAATGGCATCTTTCTTTAGCTGATACTAAGGCAGTAAGCTAACCAACTGGTCCTTCAATCTAAACACTATTGTTGACGGGCTATTCAAATGTTTTTCTATATTACTTCTCAGATATATAACTGAATAGTTAATACACTTCTGTGGCACAAAATTGAGAAAGTACTCGGCTCCGAATCTTGCTTTTTCATAGACCTTTAAATATGAATACCTAAAGAGTTTTCTCATTGGGTAGACATACCAGTATTTACTCGGTCAGTCCTCTATTGATGGACATCTGGTTGCTTCTCATTTTTTGTTATTACACACAATGCTACAGTGAATAACCTTGTACACATAACAGTTTATATCTATGCAGACATAACTGGAGGAGAAATTCCTAGAAATGGAATTTTGGTATGAAAGTCTCATGTATTTGTACTTCTTATAGTTATTGCAAAATTGCCTTCAATTGACTGGTTGCACTCCCACCAGTGATTTGAGAGGACTCTCCCCCATCCCAGCTTTGTCAACACAGTGTATTGTCAATGTTTTGATACTTTACCAATGGTATCTCACTGTAGTTTTCATTAGTGTTTCTCCAGCCATGAGGTTACCATTATTGGCATAGAAATCATTTGTTAATTTTGATACTCAGCTGTCCGGATACAGGGCAAATACAAATGATCCTAGATCACTCTATTTTCAGAATTCCTAACCTATTGCTTTCCTAGAGCCCCAAAGCTAGAGAACTTTGTTCATTTCCTTTCATTCTGCCCCATTTTTCCAGAACTATCCCAGGCATTTCTTGGGCACCCCAGATATTTTATTTTAAAACTAGTATTCCTATGGGCTAATATGGTGCTTGGCACAATAGGAAGGGTTCAAACAAACTGTGGAACAAATAAGTAAGAACAATACCAGAAACATATTCACTCACTACTTCATATGGCTATGTACTTTTGTAACTTTCAGTCTGTGTTGGCAATGACAATTTCAAAACTAAAGACAGGGCTGCTTTAGGCATGACATTCTATGTGCCACGGTGAGCTACTGTTCTGGGGCTTTTTCTTCTGCGAAATTCACTTTCAAGTGCTACCTTTTATTTTATAGAGAAGTTTACTGTTTTATTCTTTCTTTATAGTTAACTTTTAAGAGCACATTGTGTTTACTTTTTGCTTTATAAGACCTGACATGGCTTTTGACCAAGTCTGTTGACCACTGTGGGGGGGTGGGTGGGCTGGGAACATTCTTAAAAATTCCTTCCACGGAAGGGGGAGGAAATCAGAGGACTCATTTATGTTGATTTAGCTACACTCTTTTGGCCAGATTCGCTTGTGACCACGTACGCCCACTTGCGGGACACCGGGCCAAGGATCTCAGGGGGAAGCGAACATAGAGTTAACAGAATCTATAACTCCTGATTAAATTATTAACTTTGCTTCATTAGCACCACATTCTAACCACTTCACTTGGCAAGGTATTTTTGTATAGGCATTTATTACTCACCACATAAATAGCTCCTGCAAATCTTGTGGAACCAAAGGCTGAAAGAGAATTCATCATTATCACTATCATCATCAATAGTAATACTAGCTGACATTTATTGAGTGTTAATCTTTTCTATTTTACATCTATTAGTACATTGTATCCTATTATCCCGTTTTACAAATAAGAACCCTGCAAACAGAGTGAAATTAGGTAACTTGAACTAGGTGACACAGCTATTAAGTGTCTGAGCCTGGTTAGTTCTGAGCCCAGGCAGCCTGGGTCCAGAGCCATTTCTCATAACTGTTTTGTTTTGCAATTCACAAAAGGTGAAATAATCTTTTTTTTTGAAATATACTCCTAAAGTCCCCAATGGGAGTCCTCCAACCTGTCAGCGGTCAGTGGCGACACCAAGTGGTAATATATGTGTACTGCAGCCCTCTCCAACTCGACATTAATCACTCTTGCCCAAGCTCTCCCAATAAATTTATATTTGCTCGCTCTACAGAGGTAGCTTCATGACAAGTCTGCTTCCAACCAGACTGCTATCCTTCAACCTCTCTTTTTCTTGTCTCAGAGGAAAAGGCATCTTTCCCAAGGTTAGCTTCTGTTTTGCATCACATTTCTATCCCCCACATATTTTACTTCATTATTTATCTTCCCCCTTTTCTTGCCTCTTCAATTTCTGTTTCACCAGCGGCTCTTCCTGCTCAACCTACAAATAAGCTCTGGTTTTTCCTATCCTGCAAAGATAAAACCAAACAAATGCACCTCTCTTTGAACAATCACCCCAGATTCACTTTTTTATCTTAAAGATTTTATTTATTTATTTGACAGAGAGATAGCGAGAGCAGGAACACAAGCAGGGGGAGTGGAAGAGGGGGAAGCAGGCTTCCTGTGGAGCAGGGAGCCCGATGCGGGGCTCGATCCCAGGACTCTGGGATCATGATCCAAGCTGAAGGCGGACGCTTAATGGCTGAGCCACCCAAGCGCCCCCCAGATTCACTTTTTTAAAAAAGATTTTATTTATTTGAGAGAGAGGGAGAGAGAAAGCATGAAAGTGGGGAGGGTCAGAGGGATAAGCAGACTCCCGGCAGAGCAGGGAGCCCAACGCGGGACTCGATTCTGGGACTCCAGGATCATGACCTGAGCTGAAGGAAGACGCTCAACTGACTGAGCCACCCAGGTGCCCCCTCAGAGTCACTTTCTTAAAGAAGAGCTCCAATAATGGGATTCCCTTGCTCAAAAACTTTATTTTCAATCACTTCCTGAATTAAGTACAAATCTCAGTCTGACATTCAGCATCCTCCAAAATTTGGCTTGAATTTCTGGTTGTATCTCCCTGACACTTCCCTAACCCTAAGCTTCGATCATACAGGACTACTCACAGGTCCTCATAGGTGATTTCCTTTGCACAAGTAACTTTCCCTGGATTCTTTCTAGTTACTTGTGGCTATCTCCCACCCATCCACTCACCCGTTACACTGTGAGTGCCTGAAGGCAGGGACTAAATGCTACCAGGTAAGAAAGTAAAAATCAGCTTGGACCGAGAAAGCAAAAATCTGGCCATTCATCAGGCTGGAGTAACAGACACAGATAAAGCCAGCTGCAAATTTTATAGGGAACAATATTTCTCCCAAAGACACATTGCAGCTGTAAAGTGATAACAACCTCCTTTGAGTGACCACCACTTTTTTTATTCACCGAGAAATTTTGTTCTCTACAATCACAGACTATCAGAGACTTTGCTGTTTGAAATCATACCACATTTGTCTGGAGGACATAAGGTTCTTGGACACGAAGAGGCAGCCTTGATTTCCTATCCAGGTGCAGAGTTTTGGATAAGGGGTATCTGGACACAACATTCCACATCTATTTTTACTTTGTGGTTTCCAAGGAAACAGGTCTCTGGGTTCATTTCACAGTCCAGACCTGACGTTGACCCCTTCACATGGTCCTGCTTTGCGCTTCCCCAAAACAATCCTTCGTTTAAAATTTATCTAAACTCCACCATTCCCTCAAATTCTATAGTGACTGTTTTTCTTTGTTTGCTGAGATGCCCCGTGGTTTCTCTTGTGTGTGGTCTTCTGCACTGCAATGGTCAAAAAGCCTGACTTTTAGATGATCTGGATTGATTAAATGGATTCCGGCCTCAGTTCTGCTGATAACTAATTAGCAGGATCACCTCAATAAGTCAACGCACTCCACTGGCCTATTTTCTCTTCTGTAAGATGAGGGGCTGTTTCTTCCAATTCCAGGTAGACCTGCGTTGGACTCTCAGTTCTGCCACTTAACTGAGACCTGTGATTTTTGCTTTTTCTGAGCCTCCGTTTAGTCGTTATTAAAATGGAGATAAGACTGAAAACCGCCGTGTAGATTATCCAGTGCTGCAATGAGGATCAAATTGTTAAAAAGCATCACTATATTTGATCACCATTCCTACTCCTGTTATGTGCGCTCGGACAACTTAATCTTTCTGTGCCTCTGTTTTCTCACGAATAAAAGTGGAGAATAATAGTACGTACCCCCGTGCGGTTATTGCGGGCATCAAATGAGATGAAAATGAGTTAAGGGCTTAGGGCAGTGCCTGGCACATAATTAGAGGCTCAAAATATGCGAGCTAATGTAATTAGCATTAGATTACTACTAGCTGTTCTGTGGGCCAGAAGCCCAGGATAAACAGTTTCATTCTAAGGACAAAACCCCAAAGAACCGTACCCCAGGCTGGAAACAGTGAAACATAATGGAGCATTTCTTTTTCAAAAAGCAATTGGCCCGCCCAGCACTGGGTTAGGACCCGCCCAGTCCTCATTAAATATGGCAGCGAGCAGGGCCGACTTACTGCGGTTGCGCACGCGGAAACTCCTCCTTCGCCGCTTTCTCCGCCCGGCCGCCTCCGCGGCTCGCCTCGCCCCCGCCCCCGCTGGGCCGAGGTGCCGGGGGAAGGCCGGCCAGGGCGCGCACGCGCAGACATTGGCTCTGCTTGGCCGATACTTGCGAGGCGCCTGTCACATGAGCCGCGCGCCCGCTCCGCTCCCCCTCCTCCCGGCTGGGCTGTGAATGAAGCTCTGCCGGCTACGTGGGGCGCTAGCTCAGCTTGGTGTCCTGGACGCCAGAGCCGACTGAGTGCTCGGCCCGCCGGCGGCCGACACGGGCTCCGCCGCCCCTGACCTCGGCGACAGGTAAAGACAGATGGGCTGTCGCTTTCCCCAACAGGTCCTTCGCCGGCCGCTGGCCCCCGGCCCACCCGCGGAGCAGCCCCGGGGCGCAGCGACACGGGGGAAGCGCTCCCCCCGCTGGCTCGGCCCCCCGGAGATGGGGGTTCCCCTTGCCCGGCCGCCGCCGCCTGGCACTCGGAGGAGTTAGACCGGCTAGTTCTAGCCAGTGCAGGGCGGCATCTTCCCGGGAGCCCTGCCCTATTCTCCGAGCCAGGGTCCCTGCGCTGTCCCAGCAAAGTTTTCTCGCGGAGCGGCGCCAAGCCCGTCCCGCTTTTGAATGGGGGGAGGCTGGCTGCAAGGCGTCCCCTTTCCCGGACTGGGGCAGAGTGGTTTTGGCTGGTGAGGCTCTGTCGAGGCCCCGTTCTTCTTCCTCCTGCTCTGGACTCGCAGGTTTGTGTGGGTCTTCGCGAAGTGGACTCCAGGCTCTCAGAAAAGTCGTAGCTGCGAGTTTTCCTTCTCCCCCCGCCCCCCCCCTTAACGCGGGTAGCTGGTTCTCTCCAGACTTTCTAGGCTTGCGCTTGAGCGCCTTCACCCTGAAGGGGAAAGCTTTACCTTCACATTGATGCACGTTTACCTTTCTTAACATTGCAGAGCAAATCGGTTTCCTGGAGTGCCAAGCAAGTTGTCCGTGTGCCCGTGTGATAACGTCAGTGTAAGCTACCCCGAATAAGTGAGGGAAATCCAGAAGCGTGGAGCATAAAAAGCCAGTAAGAATCTGCTTTACGTCAACTTCATACATTTATTAGCAACTACCCGGGTTTAACTTCAGAGATGTTAAATTTCGCCTGGTCCCACGAGGCGCGGACCACTACTTAACTGTACGCGAAAAAGAGGTGGGGGGGCGGGGAAGGCAAACCCAAACAAACTGTCCCAGGTTCCAGATAAGTCATCGGAGCGCTTTTTCCTGGTGAATTCATCCTTGGACTTCTGAGTTCCTAAGTTTTCTTGGACTTTGCGAACCTTTCCTTATCCAAAGCATTGTTTTTTCCTCTTTCGGTGCTTTTGGGACTAGTGTACACATTGACACTCTTGTCTTAAAAAAAAAAAAAACCAAACAAAAAAAACAGTCGTTAAGGAAGACCAAAATGATGACTCTAAAGTTTGAATGTCTTCAGTATGTGTGCGTTAGCGCTTTCACTTCGGGGGTGGAGGTGTTGCTGGTCTAAAAGCTATGGAAATAGCAATGTCCTTTCATGTTGACCAAGTCAAGAAGGTGAGGGCTTTTTCTTAGACAAAGCAGATGGCTTGTATGCTAAATAAGGAAGACCAGTTTATTAATTAGGAACTTGTTTAAGTGGACAGCACGGTATTTAATATATTAAGCCGCTGAATCAAACGAAGTAGTCGGACATTTCCTTTTCTCCCCCCCTTCTCATTCCTAGCTCCTTTCCTATCCTTGAAAGTTGTATTGTCCTAAGACTGAATTTGACGCTTTCAATTTAGGAATTAGCTGAGTTAATTTGGTTGTCCTTAAATTAGTATTCTGTTTTTACATTTTTCTTTGTTTTTGGTTCTTCTTTCCCCTGCATAGGAAAGCAGTATGTGTTCCCTGTAGGACTTTGGCAAAGTGTGGGAAAGTATAATGGAGCCGAGAGGAAGAACCATGACCCAAAGGGCATTGCTCTTAACTTTTTTTTATTATGCTTCCTTTCTTTTCCATTCCGATACAGGGGCTATTTTAAAACATGAAGTATTACAAAATTTGCTCTCCTTTCTACTGATTTTTAAATGTAAAGTTGGTGTTGGGGAGTAGGGGAGGACATTGGATATTATGCTGCTCTTCATTTCCCAAACTGTGGAACTTCAAGATAGGAAAGACATTTAATGGTTATCTCATTCAACCACCCATCCTTTGAGATTCTGAAACCTATTTACTGAAGATCCAGTGATTCATGCAGAATTGGCCAGCACTCAGTGGCAATAGTAACTGACTCTAGATCTTCCCATTCTGTCTTTTTAAAGCAATACCTCGCTGGGAAAAACTTGACACTGCCCATGTCTGCATATCTTTGAAAGAAAGGTTCAAAGAGGGACAGGAGGTAACTTTTAAGGATTTGAAATGTTTTTTTTCCGTTTAGGTATTCATTTTTCTGTTCACATTTTCAGGTTCAGGGCTTGAGCTACTTGCAGAAAACAAGGCCACACAGCTGCTGTTGCATCTACATCCCATTCGAGCCTCCCTACAAAAGTGGAGGAATTTGGGAAACTGAGTGTGTGACCCCCAAAGTGGGAGAGGACAGGATCAAGATGGCCATGTGGCAGGGTAAGAAATCAGCACTTATTTCTCTAACTGGTTTTTCCTCCTTCTCTATCCTCCATCCCAACCCAACCCTCCAAGCCAGTGGCAGGCAGCCAGCTATTTCTTTAATTTAACCCTTTGTCTCCACAAGACAAAGGATATTAATTTGAAAGACGTTGCTGCTAGCTAGAAGTTTAACGTATTTTAAAGTAGGGGTGGAGGGGTAGGGAGAGGGAAGTCACTGGAAAATGTAACGCCAGAAGCATTTTCAAAGAACTCCCTTCGCTTGAACATGTGCTTGTGGGGGTTATATGTGAGGAAACAGAGGATTTTTTTTTCATATTTGTGTTTTTCATTTGTTTCCGGCACATTCCTATCATAAGGTTCCCAATGGTGGGGGAGACAGATGTCAGCACCTCTCTGGCTTCCTCTTCCCCATAAAGACTTTAAAGCATATTTACTGTTATAATGTTTATATTTGGTGATAGAAGGAAAATGCCTATTTTAATACTGTGAACTACCCAAGAGCAAAACTCAACGATATCTTGCCTGGTGGGTTTACATCTCTTGGGAATCTGGAATTCCTACCACATACGAAGTTATTTTTATTTTTGGTGGGGTTGAGGATTGTGCCTTTGGGAGACTATCAGCATTTCTGGGGGTATGTGGGATTTTTATGTTTCTTGAAAGGGCGTGTGGGTTTAAGAAATGATAGACAAACGCTGCCTAAACTGGTCTATGACCCACAAAAGGTTAAGGACCACTTAGATGGAGTAGAATATGCAGGAACTTGAATAGCTCTAAGTATTCAACAGGTAGGTTTGTTGGTTGTCTGAGGTATCTGTTAAAACTGTCTCCTGCTGGTTATGGCTTCAAGTGTGAAGGCACACAAATGTAACAAGTATTTTTGACGTATGAGGATCATCAATTTGAAGATGTTTATTGAAAGGGGATTTGGCCTGTATTGCTTGCTTTGACGCACACAGTGGACGCTGATTAGGAGCAGTTTGGAAATTCTTGTTTAAATCCCGGGACATTCTTTTATTCAACAAACATGATACTGAAATGTGCAAAACACAGAGCCCTAGAGGGTTCCTTGTCTTATGGGAAAGAGAGACATATAAACAAATAATTGTGTTAGGTTGAATTAAGTGTCAGAATAGGGAGAGGTGCAAAATGTGACGGAAGCCCAGAGAAAAGCGTGCTGAATTTTGAATTTTGAGCTGGTCTAAAAAAAATGAGTGGGAGTTTGCCAGATGGGCAAATGAGAGAATTGCATTCTGGGCAGACAGAGAAGCACTGTTTGGGAACTTCCAAGTTGCTCCGTTTGCCTTGTGTGAGATGTGTGGGCCATGACCTCGGATGAAGCAGGGAAGGTAGTCGGAGGCCAGATAATAAAGAACCTTGTATGTTCTAGGAAGGATTTTACACTTTATCCGGGAGACAAAGATTCTAAACAGGGAAGTAACATAATCAGATTTTGTTTTAGAAAGATTACTTTGGCAGCAGTGTTGAGGTGGAGTTGGAGTTGGAGAGAAAGCAAGCCAAGAAGTGGTTGGAAGGTTTCTGGTAGAGTAGTTGAGGGAAAGAGATGGGGGTCTGAGCAGGAGCCGGGGCAGCAGGGGCAGAGAGCCACGGGATGAATTCTAGAAATGTCCTGTGCCGAATGTGGGGTGAACAGCCCAGGCTGACACCCAGTCTGGATACTTGGGGCTGGTGGTGCCAGTCACTGAGATGGGGACCACAGGAGGAGGTCAGAAGGGTATGGGGATGGTGGGAAGTTAGTGTCCTGACTTTGGTTTGGCCTCTTTTGCTTGGGACACCTGTGGGCTGTCAGGTCTGTGATTAAAAGGTAGTGCTGGGAGTAGGGAACTGAAGTTGGTGCAGGTGGGGGATCTAAAGTTTTGTTCCTAATGACGCAGAAAGAGCTTGTGTTTTTTTCTCAGTTTAATGGGAAACGTCGTTAGTAGTTAATGATTTATTTATTTTCTAATAAAAACATTTTAATGGATGCCAGTTCTTAATAAAACGGCGTATTTTCTTAATAAATAATGTATCTTGCTATCTCAGGCCCTGAAACCGGATCTGCTTAAAATGACATCGGAGTAAAACCGAATTTTCCTAGCATTAGTGAAGAGGGGAGTATTCCCTATAACTAATTGCAGCTTATTCTTTGTTTTGCACAACCTCTGAAGTGACAAGCATAGTACAATGATAGTTTGGCTGGCAGTATGGTATGATAGTTAAAAATATGGTTTTGGGTTCACCTCTACTGGTCCTGTCACTTGGTAGCTGTGAGATCTTGGGCAAGTCCCTTAACCTCGCTGTGTCTCAGTTTCCTCCTTTGTGAAATGAGAATAATAATAGGACTCACCTTATAGGGTCATTTTGAAGATTAATCTCTGCAAAGCACTTAGGACCTCGTAAGTGCCGTGTAAGTGTGTGCCTTTATTCTTAGTAGTAAGACATTTAGAATATTGCTCAGCATATAGTAAGTGCTCATTAAAATTTAGCAGTAGCTGCTGTTGTTACTACCATTACTATTGCTACGACTTACATGACTACTACTGTTGTCACTATTATTTTGCTCTTAGCCTGAGGTGGGCCGGGGGCCCTGTTCTGTGGAGGGAATTTCAGGTTGTCCTTGGAAGCCCTGCCCTGTGGTCATCTGTTTGGGACTTTAGGTAGAAGTTTCAATCTGGAGAGATCCTTAGAAAACATCTAGCGCAACCCCAGAGGTTAAGTGACATGTCCATGCTCACACAGGTTGATAGTGGTGACAGGACTAAAACCCAGGTGTCCTGGTTCCCTCTTCCAGTTTTCTTTCCATGGGCTCATGGAAGAGGGAATGTGTGGGTCTCTTCTCAGCTCAAGGAAGCTCTGAGTCAGTTTCTGGAGCTAGTTGAGGAACTCTAAGAGCCAGAGGAAGTCGAGTCTCCTTAGCCTCCCGGGTCAATGTTGTCTAGCTCCTCCGTGGAGAATTTTATCAGAATTCCCATACTTCTTAAACACGGTCAACATTATTGACTTCATTCGATGAAGCCCTCTAACACATTTCCTGGCTCCTTTAAACAGAGTTTACTGGGCATAATTTAATATTTTTGGTAACTCAGGGTCATCATCAATACCATCAGTTTTCTTGGTCTAATGGTCAAGAAATTATTGACAAGAGGACTAGCCGGTTTGGGGTGGGATGAGGGTGGAGACGTGTGGTCAGGTGTTACTTATTTATTCAAGTACCGTTGTGCACCAGGCACTGTGCTGAGCCCTGGAGGTGCAATGGTTAGTAAAACGGGTACGGTCTCTGCTTCCATGGAGCTTGCCAATGAGGATAAAGGTAGCATTTCTTATGCACGAAATGATTTATTTAACACATGTGCCGAAGTAATTTGGAAAAAATGACACCAATATAAATTTAGAAGATGAAATGGTGTTTCTTTTAGGAGGGGGTGCCTCAGAATTGTCCATGGTGCTTTTACAAAGGTGCCTGCTCAGGTGTCAGGTCCCTAAATTGTGGTTCAGTCTTAGGACCTGAGCATTAAAAAAAAAAACAGAACAAAACTCTAAGCAATTCTAATGTGTAATTCTGTTTGGGAACTGCATCATTAAAGAATTAAAACTTTTTTGGGCACCTGGGTGGCTCAGTCGTTAAATGTCTGCCTTCAGCTCAGGTCATGATCCTGGGGTCCTGGGATCGAGCCCCGCGTCGGGCTCCCTCCTCAGCGGGAAGCCTGCTTCTCCCTCTCCCACTCCCCCTGCTTGTGTTCCCTCTCTCGCTGTGTCTCTCTCTGTCAAATAAATAAATAAAATCTTTAAAAAAAAAAGAATTAAAACTCTTTTAAAAAGAGAGTTGATAACAGAACTCAAAAATATAGGAGAATATATAATCGTGGGGTAGGGAAGGTATTTGCATAATATCAAAGGTAAAATAATGAATAAAATATTAATATAATCAACTACATGAAGATTTAAAAATTCCTCCCAAAAAATACAGTTAATGAGAAAACTGGAAGCAATTGCAACAAGACTCATTTTTTTTTTTTAAGATTTTATTTATTTATTTGAGACAGAATGAGAGAGAGAGCACATGAGAGGGGGGAGGGTCAGAGGGAGAAGCAGGCTCCCTGCCGAGCAGGGAGCCCGATGCGGGACTCGATCCCGGGACTCCAGGATCATGACCTGAGCCGAAAGCAGTCGCTTAACCAACTGAGCCACCCAGGCGCCCAAGACTCATTATTCTTAATACATAAGGACAGAGCAGTGGGGCGCCTGGGTGGCTCAGTCGTTAAGCGTCTGCCTTCGGCTCAGGTCATGATCCCAGAGTCCTGGGATTGAGCCCCGCATCGGGCTCCCTGCTCAGCGGGAAGCCTGCTTCTCCCTCTCCCATTCCCCCCTGCTTGTGTTCCCTCTCTCACTGTGTCTGTCTCTGTCAAATAAATAAAATCTTAAAAAAAAAAAGAGCAGTAAGAAAAATGTGTTTGACTAGCAAAGGATGGGAATAGGAAAATACATCAAAGAAGAAATATAAATGGCCCATATATGTGAAAAAATGTTCTCAGTGATAGTCAAAGGAAGGAGATTTAAGATGGCATACCATTTTCTCCAATATAATTTGCCAAGATTAAAAAGGAATGACAAAACTCAGTGTTGGCAAGGACATGCGGAAGCAGGCATTCTTACACACTTCTGGTGGGAATGTCAGTTTGGCAGTGTTTATCAAAAGCTTTAAAAACCATATTTACCTTTTGACCCAGCATTTTTTTTTGGAATTTATCCCAAGGAAGTAATTAAGGATGTGCACAAAGGTATGTCAATAAGGATATTTATTGCAGCATTTTCTAGAGCGGGGGAGGGGGGAATTGGTAGCACTTGCATTCTAAAGTAGCGATACAGTGGAATACTGTAGTTACTAAAAAGGATAATGTTGACTTCTACTTATTAACAGAGCATAGGTCCATAATATGATGTTATATGAGTGGTGGTGGGGGAAGCAGATCCCAGATTATCAATAGTTCAAAGTCTGG